ACATTACACCCCAAGATCTGAAAAAATCATCAACTTTAAAGTCTGAGAAAAGAACCGGGGTCTTGGCCCATTGTGCTACTCTTAGGGTTATGACATCATTACCTCAATCATGGCTCCTTATTTCTTTCCTTTTCCCCCAAAATTCTGGAGTCTCTTTCCTCCCAAACTGTCCAAACCACTGCTGCCCTTGTACATTTCCACATCAATCTGCCCCTCCTAATTGGACAGCTACAAGCGTAAGGGCTAAACAACTTTCCCAAGTTAACAGGTGGAAGTGAATTGTAACCAAAAAGTGAAGTGAACCAGTCCCAGATAAAACCAACAAAGGGGCTCTGGACTTTTTTCATAGTTGGAATTGACCAATTTTGTTTGGTAGTTTGTGTTTTCCCTATGGCAATTCTAAAAGTCGATAACCACAAGGAAGAAAATTAGAATGATGTTACTCCATGTTTTTCTTGTTGCAAGACTGGGAGAGATCGACTGCTACTTCCAAGAAAGGCACTGTGAAGTAATTCTTTTAGAATGGCAACGCAACTGTTTGAATTCAAATGGTTGATGTGGCATTAGTTTTTCATAAATTGTATAGAAGATTGAATTGAATAGGGTTGTTAATCATATAATAAAGTTTTTCTTATTTTCAGAAATCTGGCAAATTTTAAAATATATTCTAAAAATTTAAATATGTTTACATAAGAAAGCAGAGTTTACCACTTCTACCCAACACCCTTTAGGTTAGAGAATATATGGTTAAGTCACCCGGGTTTCATCCAAAAGGTTAAGGAGTGGTGGGAGAAAAGTAATCCGAGAGTTAAATGGAAGGGAATGACGTTTCACAAGAAGTTGCTGGATTTGAAGGCTAAAATTAAAGAGTGGAATATTCAATAGTTTGGGAGACTTGAAGAAGAAAGCAAATGGTAATCAATCAAATTGGTTTGAACATGAACAGATTTTTAAATAATGCTTTTAGTTTGAAAGTTATCCATAATTGTTAGTGACTTGACAGACGTTTTCTCCAAGTATGGTGTGCATAGAATTTGTATTTATGTCAGGAGTCTTGTGTAGTTTTCCTTTTGTATTATTTTTTGCTTTCTTCACATAATCCTACCATTCATCAAAGAGTAGGAAAAAAACCATCACCTCAGTTTTGTTAACATTTGATGGATAGGGAAAGTAATTGGTTTTGGTTTTGAGATGGCAAGAAATATCTTCAAAATGGTGTTTTCATGGATGGACAAGTTAGAGGGTATTTTGGTTAAGGAGAGAGTTTAGTACTTCTGGTGTTCATCAGGATGGTTGGGATGCAAATGGTCTTTCTCTAGTTAACCCTTGTAAACCAGTGCCTTCTCTAGCTCTTTGTGTTCAGTGGGTGCCAGGTCTTGTTGGTACTTCAATTTTTATGTAAATTCTATATCCAGCTCCTTGTGTGTGACTGTTTCATTGTCTTACCTTGGTAAAATGGCTTTGGCCACAAGAAGATGATATGATATAAGTGATCTGATCTTTCTTCTTGAACTTTGAAGAAGATTGTAAAACTGCTTTAACTTGAATAGAAGCTAATGGGTAGCTGGCTTCATGTCTAAAATCATTAGTTCAATACCTGTCATCAAATCCTTATCTTCATGGGAGGATCTAGAAAGGTTTAATCAACTGATCATCTTATTTCACTGCTGTTTATGCTAGAACCAAAGAATCATGATTCAATGCTATACTTCTAATTTTCACCTTTTGAAAAAAAAATTCAGTGCTATACTTCTCTAGCTTTGGGTGCTGCTTTGGCTCTTTTTTTTTGCATGGTTTCTGTGAGCTAAAGGCATTTGACAACTAGTATTTGTTTATTGTTCCATCTCTCTCTCTCTCTCTCTCTCTTGCTATGCTTAGATTCAGATTACTTGACAACTATGATTTATTTGTGGAATGTGGAACGTCACAATCATATCATATGAACTTTGTTTGGAGTAATGGTACTTTTATGTAGTCTCTTGGAGACAGAAATTAAGGTGCAAATGGCTTGTGGAAGGAGATGGCAGCGCAAAATACTTTCACTCTTTGGCAAATGGAAGAAGGAAGAACTTGATCTCTAGTTTAGAGGTTGAAGGTTGGGTGGTAACTTTAGAAGAGGAAATAACTCAAACTTTCTTAGAGCATTTCAAATCAATCTTTGCCACCTTAGGAGAGAGAAGTTCGGAAGTGGGGGAGTTCGATTGGATTCATAGTTGTCAAGGCATCGCCTAGGCGACTAAGCTCCCTTGGCTGGGTGCCTCACCCAAATGCCTTGACTTTTAGCAACTAGGTGCCCTTCTAGGCGACTAGGTGCCCGCCTAGATGACTAAGCGCCCGCCTAGGCGACAAAAATGACAAGGCGGGCGCCTTTTATAATGTCATTTATATTGATGTATCTTATTAATGTATGTGTTGATAACATTTTATTTTATGCTATATATATCAATTATACTTTGTTTTAATGTTTTACTATTGAAATTTAAAAGATCAAAGGGTTTTGAGGAGAGAAAAAGAAAGAAAGAAAGAAAGAAGGAAAGAAAGGAAAGAAAGAGGAAAGAAAGAAAGAAAGAGGAAAGAAAGAGGAAAGAAAGAGGAAAGAAAGAGGAAAGAAAGAATAGAATAATAAAGTTCTTTTTTTTTTTCTATTCTCTCTCTCTCTCTAATTAAATAAAATAGAAACTCCATCCTTGTTTTTTTTTTCTATTTTACTTTCTATCTTGAATATTTATCATATAAAGTTAATAATCTTCTTTAGCTGCTAATTAATATGAATTTGCTCTATTAAATACTTATTATAGTTGTATTATTTTTGAAAATAATGAAACCAATACATGTAAAATATTTTTATCTTTTAGATGTGATGATTTGCCACGTTTTTAGAGGAAATTTAATGTTCTTAATAAATAGAATTTCTATTTTTTCAATTAACATACATGCTAATTGGTATATAAAACTAGGAAACTAGCCAAAAGTCAGTTTTTTATATTATAAAACTTTTATCACCTAGGCGACTAGGCGCCCCAATGTTGCCTAGAATCGCCTAGATGCCTTAAACTATGATTGGATTAGGCTACTAGAAGCCTAGGCTGCAGTTCTAGACAGAAGCTTCATTGCAGAAGAGATACATGAAACAATGTTTTCAATGGAAAGATCCAAAGCACCAGGGCCCGATGGTTTCTCAATGGCTTTTTATCAGGACTGTTGGGAAGTTATAAAAAATGACTTATTGGAGGTCTTTGCGGAATTCTATCATAAGGGGGAAGTCTCACCGGGAGAAAATGCCACTTTCCTAGCACTAGTGCCTAAGAAGAAAGAAGCCAAAACTCCAAAGGACTACAGGCTCATAAGTCTTGTCGGTAGCCTATACAAGATCATAGCTAAAGTGTTGGTGGGAAGATTTAAAACTGTGTTGCCTTTGGTAATTTCCCAAAATCGAGGAGCCTTTGTGGAAGGAAGGCAGATAATTGACCAAATTCTAGTGGCCAACGAGTGTGTAGTAGAAAAGAAAAGATAGGGAGGGGTAGGCTTAATTTGCAAATTGGATTTGGAAAAAGCTAATGATATGGTGGGTTATACTTTTCTCATGAGTCTGATGGTAAAAATAGGTTTGGGAGAAAGATGGAGGAAGTGGATTAATGGTTGTATTAACTCAGTACACTTCTTAGTTCTGATCAATGGTGTGGCAAAGGATTTCTTCCCAGTTAAAAGAGGTTTAAGGCAAGGAGATCCTCTTTCCCCTTTCTTGTTCATTCTCATTGCAGAGATCTTGAGTAAATTGATCACTAAGGCTGATATTGAAAGCCAATTCAGAGGGTGGAGAATTGGAAGAAATAGGGTTGTTGTGACACATCTGCAATTTGTGGATGACATAATCATTTTCTGTGAGAGTTGCATAGAGCACAGTACAAGGAATTTGAGAGCCTTAGCTAACCGTTTCCAAAGATTATCAAACCTGAAAGTCAATTGGGGGAAAAGCCGTGTGATTGGGATAAATTTGGGAGAGGAGTACATGTCACTTTTGGCTGAAATTCTAGGTTGTGAGGTGAGAGCTTGGCCCCGTTGGGAGGAAACCCTAGAGCAAAGAGTTTCTAGAAATCAATAGTGGTGAGACCCTTCCTCATATACTACTTTCCTGTTCATTTGTAACTTGTATTTGGGATTACTTATGCTCTCTTTTTGGTTGCAGATGGCTACCCCCTCAGGATGTGGCTAGCCTATTTAACTCCAGTTTCTTAAGGCAATAGAAGAAAAGGGGAAGATGCCTATGGAAAATCACAAGAGCAGCCCTGGTATGGACCATTTGGGAGGAGAGAAACCAAAGAATCTTCCCAGAAAAAAAGTAGGTCAATGGAGGAAATGATTGAATTCATAAGGATCAGATCTGCACATTGGGCTAAAACAATGGAGCTTTTCAGAGATGTTTCCACAAATGACTTATTATGGAAATAGTCTGGAGTGGTACAAACAGATATACACAAAGAAATAGTGATAATGGAATGGAAACATCCAAGGCCAAACAAACTGAAATTAAATTTTGATGGGAGCTCTGGTGGCCAATCTGGTTTCTGCTGTATTTGGGCTACTATGTAGCAAAGATCTGTAAACTTTTTTCAAGCATTAATAAATAACTCTCTGATAAAAAAATGGTACTTTTATGATGTCCTATGGTGAAACAATATTTGTCATTTTGTCTTTGGTACAATGTGCCATGCCATTTTAGGAACTTAATCTTGGAAGTGGTGGTTGTTGGTTCAAATACAGGACAGTGTAGAGCAATGCTTGATCCAGATTCCAAAATATTGTATAACATTTTTTTCCTGGGTTGAAGAGTAAATGCTCAACTATGGTTAAAATGTGGAGAACCGAATCATTTCTTTTTTCTTTTTTGGCACATACATGGATTCTCTTAATTCAATTACTTTTCATTCTAACTTTTAGTTGGGTGTGTTTCTGATATTCATCTTTATCCCTTTCTTGGTGTCTGCTTCAATTATTTTTAACAGGTGGAGTATTATTTTAGTGATGCAAACTTGGCTACAACTGAGCATCTTATGAGGTTTATCAGCAAAGATCCTGAAGGGTTTGGTAAGATATTGTATGCCCAATTTATCACTAGAAAAGTTATGATAAACAGAGAAGCTTTTATGGGAAAAATTTGTCAGTTGTGCTATTATTCATTTAAGGCAATGTGGTTTCTTCATTTACATGCTTTAGACATTTCCTTTTATTCTATGCATTACAGCACACTGACTTATGAGTAGACCTGTTTATGGGTTGTGTTTTGCTTCTTTATAAACAAAAAATTACCAGGCCCGTGCCCAAGCCCTGCCCAACTATCATGCCAAGATCTTGAGCCCAAGCCTGGCCCTATACAAAGCCCGAAGCTCAATCTGGACAGATATTTGTATAATGTAATATTAATAGATTATTAATAATAGGGAAAATCTATGATGCTGGAAAGGCATTGTACGAGAAAGACTTTAACCAATCAACCCCCTCCCCCCATGAATTTTGATGAAAACTCACCTGATTGGTTGCCACTTTTATGATGCTGATTGCTTGGTTGCAACTTTTTTGGTATCATGTCTCCCCCCCATGAATTTTGATGAAAAATCACCTGATTGGTTGCCACTTTTATGATGCTGGTTGCTTGGTTGTAACTTTTTTGGTATCATGTCTTTCCAGCATTGTAGTTGAACCCTTAATAATGTGTTATATATTATTGAATATTCTATATATTATAATATATAATACTTTTTTTGCATAGACAAAAAAGGATGGGTAGAAGTAATAACAAATAATGTAAGCACTAATAATTTAGCAATGGATATGGCTTTAAAAAGAATGGATTGGTGAAACAGGATTCATATAGCTTACCCCATGTAGTTGGGATAAGGCATAAAAGAATGGATGATTATATAATATATATTATATATTATATTTTTTATTATATATAATATCATATAATATATATTATATTTTTTATTATATATAATATTTATCAGGCTGGTTTTAGGCTCGGGTCAGGCTTATTTGGGAAAGCCCAAGCCTGGCCTGAAAAATAGTCAGGCACGGTGTTTAGAGCTAGTGCCCAAGACTGAATCCATGGTCTTAAAACTTTGTCCAAGCATGATATAGAACAGGCCGGGCTGGGCCAGCCCGTCGGGCTATCCAGTCGATGAATAGGTCTCTTATGAGTACTTGGAAGCAAGTATTTTTTGTTCCTGCTGTATGGCCATGTTTGTCAAGGTGACACCTGGACAGGTGCCTAGGCAGATGAGCACCAATGGGGGGTTGCCTCACCCAAGCACCTAGTTGTTTTTTTTTGGAAGGCACTTTATACTATTTTTATGGATTTTAATAGACATTGTTATACTAGGTCATTCATTTATAGGTTTGTAATATTTTCATTTGCTAGGAAAAACTCAAGGAAAAACTTGCTTATCAAACCATAAACGTTGATATTAATTTAAGCCCCAATTAATTGATAGTTTGATGTGGTTGTGTAGACTTGAAAGTTGAAACAGAACAGGTAGCACATGGTATTTGTAGCTGTAGCACAGAGTGAGGTGTGGTAGGGGTTTCAATGCTTAGAAGATATTGTTGCGCACATAATAGATGATTTTTTTGATAGTAAAAATAAACCTTTCATTAAAAAGAAAAAAAGAGATAACAGGAGATAATTGATAAGAAATCACCCAAAAGAAGAGCCAAATCCCCACAGTATCTATCCACATAAACGCAACTTTACTACAAAAAACCAGGACCAAAACACAAATCAAAGCTAACACCACCTTCCAAATACCAAACAATAGCAACACCAAACTTGCTCAAGATGTCAGCATCTTAAAACCACCCTTCGAACTCCACAAACATTGATGGGGTCCAAACTCCACAAACTTTGCTGAAAAATCATCTTGGGTTGGAGAGTGGGCAGAAACAATGTTTCAATCAGTCACCTCCAATTTGTAGATGAATATCATAATTTTTTGTGAAGGGGAAGAACTAGGAGGGTGAGGAATTTAAAAGAATTGATCAAGAAGTCTGAAAGAATCTCAAAATTTAAAATCAATTTAGACAAGAGTTGCATAGCAAGGATCAATACGGGGGAGAATGCCTTAAATTTGGTAGCGGGTTGCTTGGAGCGTCCTATCACCCTTTGGCCTTTGACCTATATGGGTCTTCCCCTAGGTGCCAACACCAAGGAAAGTAGATTTTAGAATCCAATTGTAGAAAGAAGTGAGGGGAGATTGGCTGTGTGGAAAAGGAATTATATCTTGTTGGGAGGTAGGATTACCCTAATAAGATAAACCTTGGCTAACCTACCAATTTACTTTCTCTTTGTTTCTAGGATTCCCCCAAGGGAAGCGAAGAAATTAGAAAAAGTCATGAGGAATTTCCTTTGGGAGCTGGGAGAGGCTAGAAAAGACCACTTAATTAAATGGGATATTCTGTGTAAAAGCAAGGAAGAAGGTGGGTTGGGTATCAGGAATGCGAGCAAGAAGAATATAGCTTTCTTAGGGAAGTTATGGAGGTGGCCATTAGAGAGGGAAAGCTTGTGGCATGAGGTGGTGGATAGGATTCATGGAAGGTTGGAGAGTGGCTAGGATGTTGGTGTATCACATCAGGCTACTTTGGTAGCACCTTGGAAAGCAATCCACAATATCCTTCTTCATTTCCTTAGGTATATCAGGTAGTGTTTTAAAAGGCGTGGGAGGTGCCTTGGAGGCGTGCCTCCAGGCGAGGTGCTCCCAAAACGCCCCGAGGCATATGCCAAAGGTGCTGACACCTCTGAGGCGTATGCCTCGTACTCTTTTTTCATGAGGCATGCTAGAGGCGTATGCCTCGTGTGCCTCATGCACACCTCATATAAAAAGACAGAAAAAAAGAAAAAAAAGGAAAGAAAAGGAAAAGAAAAGAAAGGGAAGGGAAAGAAAAAGAAAGAAAATAAAAAAAGAGAAAAGGAAAGGGAAGGGAAGAAAAGATGGGGGAAATAAAGTGGTCTGCCCCCGACCCCTTCAGCTGGGGGCTTTGCCCCCCTAGACCCCCCACCCCCCATTTCAACTAGTGCTGTGCACCTTTATTCTTCTTAATATAAAAGATTTTTATTAAAAGTAAAGAAAAAATGAGATCCCCCCTTCCTCTTCCTCCTCTTTCTTCCTCCTGAACCCTCCTCTTAAGGAGGCTTATGCCTCCTTGTGTTCGGGAGGCTTATGCCTCTTACGTTTTGAACTACGCTTCACGCTTCTAGGTAGTGGAATGCCTCGCGTCACGCCTCCGCATTTTAAAACATTGATATCAGGTATGATGTTTGTTCAAGGAATTTAATTTGTTTTTGGGAAGACATTTGGATTGGTGACCTGCCTTTAAAGGATTTATTTCCTTCCTTTTCATTTCCTTGTACAAAAATGAGTTGGGTCATAAATGGGAATTTAAGTTTCGAAGGGGATTAAGGGATGAGGAATTCACCTCTATGACAGAGCTTTTGCTTCTTATTTATAGAGTTTATTTTAATTATTTAGAACCTTTTAAATCGGATATTTTGGTGCCCAAGTTCTAAAGGTCTGATTTTGTGCCTCTTTTTTTAATGCCCTAGTCAGTTCCCTAACCCTCAATCTTTCTCCTTGAAGGAGCTTTGGTGTTAGCCTATTCCCCCTAAAATTAGTGCTTTGTGTTGGGAAGTGTTCTATGGGAAAGTAAACACTAAAAGAAGAGACCTTTTTTGTGTATTTTCTCGAACTCGTGCACTCTTTGTAAATCAGATGGTGAATCTTGTTACCTCTTACTAATATCTTGTTCCTTTGTTGCAGATATTTGGGATTGGTTTTTCTTTTTGTTTGGGTGTAGGTGGAACTTGTAAATGGAGATTTAGATACTGTTTGATTCATCTACTTTTGTATGGCCAAAGAGAAAGGAAAGAATAATGTGGAGGTGCATTAGAGCAGTAGTGATTTAGACTTTATGGGAGGAAAGAAATGCTAAAATCTTCCAAGAAAAGAAGAGAAGCAAGCAACAAGTTATGGTTTGTGTAATGACGAGGGTTATACGTTGGCTATTAGCTTTAGATTTATATTGACAATTCTCCTTCGATGATATTTGGAAGAATTGGTATTTAGTGGCTTCTAGTTCAGTGCAGAATGATAAAATACACTTGAATTGGGTACTGCCTGTTGAAGGTTTTTTGAAACTAAATTTTGATGGGAGTAATCAAGGTAACCCAAGTCCTTTTGGAATTGGAGGGGTCATAAGAGAGGAAGGTGATGTAGTAGTGCTTAGGATCGGTGGGTAGTGGGGACTGGGAACCCTTTAAAGGGCTGAACTGTATGCAGTATTACAAGATGTTCAGATTGCAAAAGAGATGAGCTTGGAGAATTTGGTGGTCGAAGGGGGGACTCCAAGGTGGTAGTGGGCTGGCTGAAATATCCGGATTCAATGATATGGTATTATAGGGATGAAACGAAGAAGCTCAAATGGTTAACAAGAAATATGAATCTGGTTATACAATGGGTGGGGAGGGAGGCCAATGCATTGGCTGATTCTTTAGCTAAGCAGGGGGTACTTAGGGATCAGTTGTACTGGGCTCAATTGTAATTTTTGTGCTGTTCTTTCTTTTAGAGTGAGGCTGCACCTCATGCTTCTTGCTGGGCTGCTTGTAACAGTTGCCTATCTTTATTGATTTCAATGAATTTTTACTTATCAAAAATAAAAAAAACAGAAACGTGGGTTCTCAATAAATTTGGGCATGAGTTTTAAAGTGTATGTTTGATCATTTTAACATATTTGTTCAGAGTCTATTACTAATTGTTGAGTTTTGTTTGCATTGATTTATTTTTCCACATTTGACTTTTTTTTTTTTTATCTTTTACGATAATTGTTTCATATATATATTTATTCAAATGAAACTTAAAATTAAAATATATCTGGCGACTTGTAGTCAAATCCATGTAACATAGGCAATGACAATACAACCGGCTATGAATTGTAAATAGAAAAAAAACACACTACCTAAGAGGATAGGTCCTCTTTTGCTTTCTTCTTTCTTTTAAATAAAATTTTTATATACATACATATGTATACTTGTTTACATATGCATGTATATAACTGTGATATTCCTACTCCGTCTAAACTAGAAGATCAATTAGTCATAGTGTTAGCTGACCTAGGAATTCATCAAAACTAGACGTTGATGTGAAAAGTATCTGCTCTATGGCAAGGTGATGTAGAGAACAAGGGAACTTTGAAGGTGAATATTATCCAACCGATCACCAAAAAGCCTCTCTCCATCTCAAGTTGATCCAGACCCAAGGAGAACTTTAGCCTGATCCCTTGTAGCAATGCCAAAATGTTGCATCTGGTCAAATTATCCAAGCCAATTCAATTGGACTTGAACAAACCAATTTGGTTTTGCCTTCGTGCCTTGTAAAGATTCTGACTCTTGAAGGTCATGTGTTTCCTTGAGAAAAAGTTGAGCTTGGTTACTTCAACCTCGGGGGGTGGGGAGGCAGCTATTCATGGTGATCTTTAGCAATCCTCCATATCTCACTATGTCATCAACTAAAACTTCTATAAACCCTCTTTGCTCCAATTCCACAGAATATTCTTGTGGTGATCAAGTCCACATCCACTTAATTATTGAAGCATATTCTAAAAATTCTCTCTTCCCATTTGCTCCATAGAAAAGCTCCCTTGTGCAATTCTATGATATTTCCTCTCCAAATACAGGTTTGGAGGTGAGGAAATTGCTCAAATAAATATGGGGGTTCCTATGGATCCAGAGAATGACATAAAATGGTAGCACAAAATAGCAAAGTCACAAGAAATAATGAGGTGATTCATACTTTTGCTATCTTTGCATACGATAGTGGCATGGCAATAACTTCCAAGGTCTGGAGATGCACATCTGATTAGAAAAATAAGTGCTTAACCTAAAGAAGGCTATTACCCAATGTTGGTACTGGTTATCAGCATTCTTGGTTGGGGTTGTCTGGATACAGATGTAACTTCTGTTAATTTAACTTTAAGCTAGTTCTGATAAAGCCATTGAAACTTGAACCTATAAGCACTGCAAACAGATACCCCTAATTGGAGGGTTATGACTAAAAAGCATGTTAATGATTTTCATTATGAGTATTTTTTTATCAGCAATGCAGAAAAGATTGATTGATTAAAATCAAAAGAGGATGCAACAAGAGTTAGTGAAAACAACTGAATTAAACCATTACATTACACACACCCACCCACCCACCCCACCACCCTATTACAATTGGAGTTTATGAACTCCTTGTTTAGTCAGATCACCCACTAGACAATTAGCAGATCTTCTTACCCATCTTATTTGAATGTTCAAATCTTTTGAGAGCCACTTGAAGCATTGGTTTCATTTCTGAACTGCCAACCCCCCCATCTTTTTCAGCCACCCTACTACTATCTTCAAATCCTCTTCAATGATCAACCTTACAATTCCCATTTCTTTAGCTTTCTGTATCCCCCCCACACCCAATTTCTGAAGGTCCAATGGTGGCCATGTTGTTTCCTTCAAAGTTCCATTTCATCCAACCACCGCTTGGGATATATATATATTCCTAGAGGAAGAGCCAGCTATTGCCCCCAAGTTCCAGAAAATCCTCCACTGTAAAGTCTGAGGAAAGTTTTCGTGTCTTCACCCAATGTGCAAATCTTGGGATTATGATCTCAATTAGTCTCCTTGCTCTTCTCTTTCTCCCCAAATATTCTTGTATTCCTCTCTTCCTAAACTGTCCATATCACTGCTGCCCTCGTACATCTTCACGTAATTCTACCCTGTCTTTTTTTACTGATAACAGTTAGGCAAAACAACCTGCCCAAACTGATAGGGGGTTCCACCTATAACCAAAAAGAAAAGAAAACCATTCCCAAATACCAGTTAAGAGATGGTAATCTACTCACCATTCAACTTGCACAAGAAATACCAGTTAGAGGACAATACCCAGTTTGGTCTTTTCCTTTGCTACAACTGACAAGTATATTTTTTTTTGATAATTCACAACTGACAAGTATTAATGTATCCATGGAAAACTTCCTAGCAGAAAGCATTGATTTTTAGGGGGACCGGGAAACACCACACTCCTTTCACAGGAATGGAAGAAGAAGAGGTGGTGGTTGCAAGAGAAGTAAAAAAGATTTGCAAGAAAAAAAAAACCCAGTAGGACTAAGAGACCACACATGACCATCCCCTCCAGAATCATAAAGAATTAAACCACCCAAAAGTCACAGTAGGCCTTGTTGTATTCAAAGTGCTTATGTTTCTTATTTGATCTACAATGTTTATTCTCTCTTGGGGTGACAGCACAACCAGTATGGTAGGATATTTTTCTGGACCTCCTTGGATTTGATTGAGTTTTACCTCCATGCCCTTGCAAGACTCTATTGTGTGACTGGTCAGTAAGAGGACTCCGGAAGGAGGAACCTACTTCACCGAATAATGTTATCAAATCCCCCATTTAATGTCTTTGGGTTTTTTGAGGCACTACCTAACTAGACAACATGTTCCATCCATTCAAATCTTATGGATCTTAAAAAATTCATTCTTCTGTAGCTGATCTGGACTTCAGGAGACATATGGCATTAGGTAATTTAGGCTTAAGTTCCTAACTAGACAATTTTTTTTTAATTGAGATAAATATATCACGATCTAAGTATTGGCTTTCTGAAGTGAAGATTTGGATATTGGAGGAATATGTATTGGTCTATGTCTTTTTTCTTTTGTTCTGTTCTATTGTTTGTTTGAATTGTTACTATTATTATCATTTATCATTATTAATGTTAGTATAACTAACAAGACCCTGCTTTTTGAGCAGTTCCAATATCAGTTGTTGCTTCTTTCAAAAAGATTAAAGCTCTCATCAGTAGCCATCATCAGCTTGCTAATGTTCTCCGTATGTCATCGAAGCTTGTGAGTTCATTTCTATACTCATGATTGCTTTCATGAACTGCTTGTAACATAGAAAGCTTTGCTGTACTTTTATCCTATCAGTCTCACCTGTTTGGTGCTACGCTATGATACAGGTTGTTAGTGAGGATGGAAAAAAGGTTAGACGCCAACATCCCTTCACAGAGTCAGATGTGGAAGAATTACAGGTATTTGCCATTCACTTTTTGTCCTTGAATTGGGTCCTTCCTCTCAACTTGTAATTATGGATTACATAAATCTGATTACAGCTATACTTGAAGGGTACCTATATGGTCCCTGGAAGGGGAGATATTAGCAAAAGTAGACTGGTTTGATCAGACGATGCTAATTATTTTTATCTGTGCAAATAAGGACCATGCTATTTGAGTTATAATAATATGGACCAATATGTATTTAGGGTTCGTACCTTAATGCCCAGAAGTGAAAACAGGATCTGAAGCTGGAGTTGGAGCAGAACAGTGCTGTCAAGTTTTAGGAGTTTGGATTTTTTGGAGTGTATATTTAGTGTATTACTTTCACCAACACACACACAACATAATAAAGATAGTAACATTATCCAAGTCTTATATTTAATAGATGACTTTGAAGGTTGTAAAACTCTATGAAAGGGGAATTTCGAAAATCCATTCATTTTACCAAACAGTTGTCTATTTTTTGTTAAATAATTAATATTTTTTTGTGTGCATATATAATATCAATGCATAAGAGAGGGGATGTAGGTGGAGCAAGAGCTAGGGGGTTTTGGCCAGAGACTGTGAGGGTGGGGGGGGTGCATGGTTGATTGGTTTGGGGCTGTTCTGTAAGGAATCAGCTCCAAGCTTGCTCAACTCACTGGGACATTGTCACCAATGATGGTTTTGGGCACTAAAGCTTGTTCTGCTAGAAGTAGAGCAAGGTTCAAAATTTCGATACGATTATTGGCAAGCCTCCGATATCTAAATACAGGGGCTTTGACCACTTTCAGGGGGTAGGTAGGCTTAAGACTAAGCCCCCGACCAATTAAAAAAAACTAAAAAAGTTGTGGTACTGAAACACCCAATATGCAAATTCATGCGTATTGGGTGTATCAATACTTGAAACCTTGAAAGTAGAGTATTATGTCTAGCACTTTTACTACCGAATACATACCTTTGAGTACGTAGCTTTTCTTGATTTCTATTATGCATTCCTTTTGGTATACATTACACTTGATGTAGGTTTTCTTGATTTCTGTTATGAATTCCATTTGGTGTGCAGTCACGTACTGTTGTTGCTGAAAATTTACCTGAGGATCATTCCTTCCAAAATCTCATGAAGGTTTTCTCTGCTGTTGGGAGGTATCAAGTTTATTATCATAGGGAACCAATCATCTTTCTTTATTGATAAGCATCTTTGGATATTAATTTTGTGAGATGATTATTTGTTCTAGTGTGAAGACAATTCGTACCTGCCAACCTCAGACCTCCAATGGTGGGAGTTCTGCATCATCTAGATCAGCAAAGTTGGACAACATGCTTTTTAGCAACAAGGTATGTACTTTCATTATAAAACCGACTAGAAAAGGTATGCACTTATTTGCACTCTGAGGTTATTCAATGTTTCTAAGGTTTTGAGTCTAGTTGTTGTTGAGGGTGCATGTAGCTTGGTGTTTTACAGAATATAGATGTATTCAAACTTGTTAGGCCTGTTCCTGTCTGGTGAATTTGAAACTATCTACTGCCTTAATGTAGGTAGGGCTGTAATCGGATTGGCTTCAGCAAAATCCGAATCCGATTCAATTATTGAAAACTTTCATCCGAATCTGATTGAAATTGATTGGATTTGAAGACTCGGATCCAAATTCGAATCCTAATGGTCTCGGATCCAATTCAGATTTAATCCGAGTCTGCTTTTATTTTTTAAAATACAAAAAAAGTTAATTATTTTTCAACTTTTATATATAATAAATTAATGTAAATATAATATACTGAAGTTAGTATATGTAAATTTATATATAATATAATATAAAAAAAATATATATATATTTTACTTTTAAATATAATCATATAAAATTTATATATTAAAATCAGGAAATAGTATAACATAATTGGATTCAGATTTTAATCAGATCGGATGGAGTCAAATCTGAATCTGATGTGATTATTAATCGGATGCAGATTACAATATCCAAATCCGATCTGATTACATAAACACATCATCTGAATCTGATATAATCGGATCGGATGCCGAAATGGGCTGCGGATTTTCGGGTATCATTGACAAGCCTAAATATAGGCCATGGCAAAAGGTGTGCAAGGATATTAAATACATTCTTATATGCATGGGGAACATTGAGATTGTATTACTTTCATTGAATTCCCTTCATCCCCCAAATGCACAGCCCTACCATTTCCAAACAATCTTGAGTTACTAGCTATTTTAGTTCATCTGATGAAAAAGGTTACCTCTCTCCTTTTCTGGTCATGTTGCTTCCTAATATGTTTGATATTAGCAGTCATTTGTGTGATGCATGGATTTACATTAGCGAGGATCTTTTTTTCCCAAGGTTTTTTAGTGAAAAGAGTTGAACAAAAATGGAAATCTTTGACTTGGTGAAAATTAATTAAAGTGGCACATTGGGTGGACCCTAGAGAATTTCCAAGGTTTCTCAACAAATGACATTTTGAGAACTTGGAAGGAAGTGGCTTCGTCGGCTCAAGCCAAGGAAAGAGTAAATATGGGATGGAGTCCCCCAACAACCATCTTTGTTAAACTCAATTTTGATGGGAGTTGTATTGGTAGTTAGGTTGCAGTTGGGCTGAGAGTAGACGTGTAAATCGGGCCGTGCCGCTTGCGGCCCGGACCGACTTTGGACCAGCCCAGCACGATGGCACACGGGATGCGCCAGGCCCGACACAATTGTATGGGCTGTGATGGGCCTGGGGTTTTAGGTCTGCGGGCTGGGCCGGCCCGACCCATATATATTATTTATATAAATTATAATTATATAATAATATATAACATATAATATATTAATAAAATAAATAATTGTTTTCAATTTTATTATACTAACTTATTTAATTATTGTATATATAAGCAATTGTGTACATCAAAATTCATATAAAATTGAAATTTTAAGTTTTTTTTTTCAAAATTTTTAAATAAATAGCTTTGGCCCGGTCTAGCCCAAGGCTCGACCCACAGACTAGCCTGGCCCACAGCACGGACCCGCATGGCTTGGGCTGTGGGCCGTGGCGGGCTGACCCCCTAAGTTATCCCAGGGGAGGGTGGCACAGCCCGGCACGGCCCGTTTTACACCTCTAGCTGAGAGGGGTGTTCAGAGACACAGAAGGGAAGGTTTTAGCACTGTATTCAGGGCCATTAACAAATGGTAATGCATTGACAGCAGAGCTGTGTGGATTAGTTACTCCATGGGTTAAAATTTGCTAAGGAATTCGATTTCCACAACTTGGAGGTGGAAGGGGACTCTCAGGTGGTCATTTCATGGACAAGATGCAGCTCCTGAATCCCATGGGTCTATAGACATACTTGGGGAATAAAAGCATATCAAGTGGGCGGAATGTTGTCTTTAAATGGGTCAGAAGATCAGCAAATAGGACGATGGATGTTTTGGCCAAATAAGGGACAGCAAGGCAGCAAATGTTTTGGACAAAATTATAAATTATAAAGTGTCTTAAGGTTGAAAAACTCACCTTTTGTAATACATGAAATTGATATTAATAATCTCTTTTTACTGATAAAAAAGGATCTTTTTCTCCCTAGAAGTAACGCTTGTAATGCATGGGGTGGCACAAATATATTTGACTACACCATGCCTCATATGAAATATAAAGGCCAGGAAGCTAGCATATCCTCCCTGCTTGTGCCCAAGCTGGCATGGGCACTTCATTAGTTGTTCGTGTGCACTCTCATCATTTCATAGCCTCTTTATAGTCATTTCATATGTGTTTGTCCATGTGCATACACAAACACAGCATGTTGGAGATGTGTGCGATCTTTCAACTGGTCATGTCATGTGAGGGGAAATAAGGGTATTATGGGCCAGATGGTCCAACCAATTCTTGGGATGGATTTTAGGTCTGGAGAAAGTTGGTGAGGCTTCAAGAAGTCGGCAAAACAGAAAAGACGCTAGGGAGAAGGAAGAGGTTGATGTGGAACCTGACATTGAGGCATGATTTGCAGAGTTGGAGAAGGATGGGTTTGATTGAGATGGGGAGAAGGAAGAGGGTAGTGAGTCATGGTGAACTTAATGGTTTGGGAGGAGAATTAGAGATGAATTACTCAGGAGATGTTATAGAGGTGTTTGTGGGCAAATTAGGGGTAGATTTGGGATGGAAAAAGGGTTGTGCAAGCAGCTGAAGAGGTTACCATTGATGAGAATTCAGTGTAGATATGGAAAAAACTTAAAGAAACAAATATGGGCACTTTTTTCATGTCACTAAAGTCCTTCATTGTCTGAGGGTCTTTTGGGGGTAGCTTCCTGTAATAAAAATCAGAAAGGTGAGGAGAAGAATAATTCTGTTGATAAAATTCAGATAAAGATTAAGGAGAGTAAGTCGGAAAAGAGTTTTGATTTTCAAGGTAAAGGAAATAGATGGGGAAAAGGATGATAAGAACCAAGAGGAAGATGATAAGGGGATTTTTGATAGAGCGAGGGAGATAGAGAGAAGGTTGATCTGGAAAAAAATTGTTGAAACGGGGGTCCAAGTAAAACATTAGGGCTGCATTGCTTGGAAGGGGAGGAATTTGCAAGAAAAAAGTTAATGGAATTGGACTTTTGGGTGGGGACTTATCAGTAATCACCTCTTATTGTAATCTCTTTTCTTTTATTAGCAAAATAATGGCACAAACACAACATGAATTTAAGTAATGAAGAAAAAAAAAATAATCTAGATTAGTTTTGAAAGTAAACAATTGGCAATAATTCAATTGTACATGTATGCTGATGCATGTCAATGGATGTCACGGATAATTCAGTTTGTGCATTAAACAGATGGCTATGTGTACATTGAATAATTGTTGTTTATAACTTGTAATATGAGTCTGTGTGGAACATCTTTGGAAACTATCTAAAACTGTATACTGTATTTTTTTTTTTTGTATAAATAGTGATGCACTATTTATCAATAAAAAAGTGATGCACTTTTCTACACAATTTACTGAATGCACTACAACTTTTAACTTCCAATTGGAAACAAAAAGTGAAAAGGGGGGCGTGTAATCTCAAGTGCTTCTGTCCTTGCACCCTTGTCCATCTCATGTAACAATCACCATGATTTGGTGACTGCATATGTTGATAAAGGCTGCAAGTGGTTTTACCATGGAACTTTTAATTCCCGTCAGTGTATATCTTCATTTTTTACTGTGCCTATTTGAACTTTGGTCTCTACAATCATATCTGAATTTTAAAATGTCATAATTGTCAGGCTATCATGGCAACAGGCCATTGTCAAAAGGTGACTATAATACAAATCTCCCTATATGCTCTCTCTTTAATACTAAAAAGAAATGAAGATTGGATTTACATATACTATACATCTGAAAGAAATAACTTCTTCCAGAAATAACTTCTTTCAGGCATTTTCTGTTCCATTCTTGTTAATGTAAGAGGGAAGATGCTCTGTCTTGCACTTGTGATGGCTTAATGAGAAAAGAGAGTCTTAGGGCAATCTATTAGAATAGGAGAATATTTAGGAAGGTATAATTAGGGGAAAAGAGAAATAATAGATGTTAAGGGAGAATAAATGAAAGATTTTTGGGTTTGGGTAGAAGGAAATGCATGTTTTGAGTGGAGTGTGGTGAGAGGGAAACTTCTTTAATTGAAAGAGTGTAACATGAAATGAAGGTGGCTATTTATAAAAAAAAAATGAAGGTGGCTCTTTGAGAAGTCATGGAGAGTTTTGGAGATATGCCAATTTGCAAGATAGGAAATCCACAATTTATTATTCAAATCTAAAGAATTGAAAAAAAAATTAAGGGGTTTGAAGTGGCAAGGATGACCAAGGTGATTGTTAAAAGGAATTGAGAGAACCATGGCTCTTTTTAATTTTATTTTTATTTTTAAAATCTTGTTTCTCAATTTTTACTATTTCATGTATTTGCTTTTTATGTTTTTTCTTTTTACTTAGACAGATGATGGAAGTTATAGAAATCAATTTAGAGTAGGATGGTCGAAAGGGAACATAGAAGTTGCTGAGGGATTGTAGGAGAGAAAGAAGGAAATAGGGCCTATTTCTTTAGCTGGATCTGATAGAGCTTGAAAATTGAAATAGGACAGTTGAAAGGGCATGTAAAGACCAAAGGGTGGGAGTTGGTAAGGGTATTGTCCTTTTGTGTGGGGGAACTGTGAAAATATCTAAAAATGAGGTGTCCTAGGCATTATTTTCTCTTTTTTAATTCCAAACAAAGGAAGAAAATTTTGAGGGGGTTGGGAGAGGTAGAAAATCCAACACAAAAATCATCCAGGCAAATATAAATGTTGTGTGCATTGATATTCTAAGTAACAGTTTTGGCACCTTTAACATCTGTAATTCTGTATTGATCTACTTGTGTGCCACAAAATAGCAAGTGTAAAATACCATGGATACAGGCAGAGGAGTGAGTTGGATTGTGAGAGGATTGGGGAATGCAAGAAAGAGGGTGTTAATAAAGGAGCTACTGAGAAAAGAAAATCCAGATATACTCCTAATTCAGGAATCTAAGCTCATGACATTTAATAGTAGGTGGGCCAAAAGTGTATGGAGAGCAAACGACATCAGTTGGGCAATGAGTCCCTCATGGGGAACTTTTGGAGGAATAGTGACTTTGTGGAAAAATGAAGTTGTTGAAGGAGTTGAAGAATTGATTGGAAAATTCTCAGTTTCTGGTAAATTCAAACAGGTGGGCGATGGTTTGAATGGGTATTAACTAATGTATATAGCCCCGATGGATACAGGCAGAGGAATGAGTTGTGGGAAGAGCTAGGAGACATAAGACGATTATGGGAAGGTCCTTGGTGCTTAGGAGGGGATTTTAATGTAATTAGATTCACTAAGGAGTGTGACAAGATGCGCAAAGAAACACTACAAGTATGAGGAAAGTCAATGAGTTTATCAATGTGTTTGAGCTCAAAGAACTGAATCTGTCGCATAGTCGATTTACTTGGTCAAATCTCCAAGCTGATCCAATTTGTTCAAAATTAGACAGATTTTTGTTTACTACTGATTGGGAAGAATATTGGGGAGATCTGATGTCAAGGACACTCCTAGGGTCACCTCTGATCATTGGCCAGTTTTGATAAATAAGGTGGATCCTAAGAATAGAGGACCTATCCCATTTAGATTCGAGAAGATGTGGCTATCCCATCCAGGTTTTAAGGAGAAAGTGAAAGTATGGTGGGTAGCAAGTGATCCAAGGGCTAATTGGGAGGGTATGAAATTTCAGTGGAAGCTGAAGGAGTTGAAAATCAAAATCAAAGAGTGGAATATTCTCCAATTTGGGAGGCTTGAGGAAAGAAAACAACATTTGATGATTCATATTGAGGAGCTAGATGCAAAAGAAGAACAAGGTGAGTTTGGGGAAAGGGACAAGGAGCTTAGGTGGGAGTTGAGGAAAAGCCTGGAGGATGTTCTCTTCAAAGAAGAAATTAGCTGGAGACAGAAGTCCAGACATAAGTGGGTAAAGGAGGGAGATAGAAACACAACATTTTTTCATGCTGTAGCTAATGGCAAGAGGAAGAACTTGATATCCAAGCTAGTGATAAATGATGCAATATTGACTCAGCAGGAAGAGATTGAAGGGGTCTTTGTGGACCATTTTAAATCAATCTTTAGAAGGCCTATGTCGAGCAGATTACAGTTGGGGGTTTGGAGTGGCCAAGACTACCGGAAGAGTCAAGGGTGTGGTTAGAGAGAAGCTTTGAATTAGAAGAAATAAGGGTAGCCATATTTTCAATGAATAGATCTAAAGCACCTGGTCTTGATGGTTTTACGATGGCTTTCTATCAAGACTACTGGGAGATTCTGAAGGATGACATCCAAAAAGTGTTTTCTGAGTTCTTTGAAAGGGGGGTGATTAATCCAGGCCTCAATTCCACATTCTTGGCTTTAATCCCAAAAAAGGGAGATGCCTGTCACCCCAAAGAGTTTAGACCCATTAGCTTGTGATTAATCCAGGCCTCAATTCCACATTCTTGGCTTTAATCCCAAAAAAGGGAGATGCCTGTCACCCCAAAGAGTTCAAACCCATTAGCTTGGTACACAACCTTTATAAAATCATTGCTAAGGTGCTTTCTCGGAGGATTAGAGAAGTCCTACCCTTAATAATTTCCCCAAATCAAGGTGCCTTTGTGAAGAGTAGACACATTGTGGATCAAATCCTGATTGCAAACGAAAGTGTGGAAGACTTCAAAAGAAGTGGGAAGAAGGGGATAGTGTGCAAATTGGATCTTGAAAAGGCATATGATATGGTGGATTGGTCACTTCTACTGGAAGTCTTAGAGCCTTTTGGATTTGGGCAGAAATGGTGCAAGTGGGTGAAAGGATGTATTAGGACTTGCCACTATTCCATCTTAGTGAATGGGAGGGTGGTAGATCATTTCCAGGCTACCAAGGGTATCAGGCAAGGAGACCCCCTTTCTTCTTTTTTGTTTACTCTAATTGCCGAAGTCCTAGGAAAACTCATTGTGAGAGTAGACTCTAGAAATTTGGTGAAAGGTTGGAGGGTAGGAAGGAATAAGGTCCCAGTAACACATTTACAGTTTGCTGATGATACAATTCGTTTTTGTGGTGGGGAGGAGGTGAGCTGGGTGAGTAACCTAAAGCAAGTGATCAATGTTTTTGAAAAGGTGACTTGTCTTAAAGTTAATTTGGACAAGAGCTATGTGATTGGCATTAATTTGAGTGAAAGTGAGGTGGAGGATAGGGCCCGCACTTTGGGATGTGAGATCGCACAATGGCCGTTGATCTATTTGGGGCTGCCACTAGGGGATAATCCAAGTAGAAAGAGTTTCTGGAACCCGATGATTGAGAGATTCACTAAGAGGTTAGCATCTTGGAAGAAAAATTACCTATCCATGGGAGGCAAAATAACTCTGATCAAATCGACATTGGCAAATCTGCCTGTGTACTTTTTGTCGGTGTTTAAAATGCCTGGAGGAATTTGTGGGATTTTGGAGAAATCAATGAGAGACTTCTTATGGGAACCAGGAGAGGAGAAAAAAGATCATAGGGTTAGGTGGGATATAGTTACCAAAACCAAAAATGATGGTGGGCTTGCTTTAGGTAACTTGTAGAAAAAAAATGAAGCTCTGTTGGGGAAATGGCTTTGGAGATTGACTTTGGAAAGGGATAAATTACGGGCTCAAGTAGTCTTAAGTATTCATGGGCAAGCGGCGGATGGCTGGGACTCTGGAGCTTCAGTTAGGGCTACGAGAGCTTCTTCTTGGAAATCAATTCCTGCCATCCTTCCTTCTTTCCTTCCTCTAATGAGGTATGATATGCGCTCTGGTAATCTTGTGAAATTTTGGGATCATGTTTGGGTGGGAGACATTTTGATAAAGGAGCTCTTCCCGTCCTTGTATTCTCTATCACGTTTTAAAAATGAGCCAGTCTCCACTTTCTTGACCTCTTCTAGTTCATCCATTGATTGGAATTTGGGTTTTAGAAGGGCCCTTAGAGACCCAGAATTGAATCTCATTGCTGACCTGCTAAAAATCCTTGAGGGGGTGACTATTGATCCACTCAGGAGGGATAGTAGGATTTGGACTCCTCCCAGAGTTAGCGCATTTTGTTGGAAAGTTTTCCTTGAAAAATGTAACACTAGCGACTTCAAAGAAAAAGGCCTAATTGGTGTTTATCCCCATACTGGTGCATTCTTTGTAAGAAGAATGGTAGAATTGTTATCTCTTAATAGTTTCTTGTCCATTTGTTTCAGAAATCAAGTGTTGTTTTTTGTACCTTTTTGGATGCAGGTGGACCCCTCCCTCAAATGTACAAAGCCTATTCAATTCTACTACTGTTAGGGGGTTGAAGAAGAGAGGGAAAATTCTATGGAGATGTGTAAGAGCAGCTGTATGTTGGACAGTTTGGGAGGAAAGGAACCAACAGACCTTTCATGGGAAAGAAAGAAATAAAGGTGTARTTACTGAATTAATTTCCATAAGGGTGATTCAGTGGGCTAAGACTTTGCACATTTTTGAAAACTATTCAGAAGGAGATATCATCAGGAAGTGGAAAGAAGTGGCTTGGTCAGTTCCAAGGAAGAATGTAATTCACCCAGTTTGGTCCCCACCAGCTTCAGGGTTCACTAAATTAAACTTTGATGGAAGCAGCGAAGGAAATCCAGGTCTGTTGGGGTATAGGGGGAGCTGTCAGGGATGATGAAGGTCGAATTATCACCTTGTATTCGGGTCCTGTTGGCTGGGGGGGACTCTCTTAGAGCTGAAATGTTGGCTGTTATGGAAGGGTTAAAAAGAGCTCAAGAATTAAATATCAGAAACCTGATAGTGGAAGGTGATTCTAATTTGACTATCAACTGGTTAATGAAAGGTGATTCTAGTTTGTGGATGTTTCTGAATGAAAAGAAGAAAATTAGATATCTCATACAAAATATGGAAGTCAAATTTCAGTGGACTAAGAGGTGTGCCAATTCCTTGGCAGATTCATTGGCTAAACAAGGGGTGGGAAGAGATAATTTGTTCTTGGCAACATTGTAATCTTAAATGTTCTCTTGGGAGGGTTAAGAGTTTTTACCCATCCCTTTGTATTTTTCTATATTATTATCTCTTAATAAAAGTATTTGTTATTTATCAAAAAAAACCATGGACTTGACAAGTCTTTGTTTCTTTTGTAGTTGCATGCGTTTGTGGAATATGAGACTGTTGAACTAGCTGAGAAAGCTGTAAGTATTCATCGTTTCTGGACTTCTTAAAGTAATATTTTCTATAACTCCATCTGACAAGCTGGAATCTGTTTTTATGGAGGGAAGATTACTGAGCTAAATGATGAAAGGAACTGGAGAAGTGGACTCCGAGTGCGGCTACTGCTTAGGCGCACGGTATTTTCCTTGAATGCTTATTTATTCAAAATGCATCTGAAATTCAGTCAAAGTCATTCAAGTTCAACGAACCAAATTTATTGTTTCTTTCAGGAAGCTTGTTCTTTCCTCAATATCTCTGAGAAATTGTTTTTTTCCGGTGAACTATTCTTGCTTGAAATTAGACAAATCTGAGAACTAGTTGTGCTTCGACTAGCTTAATTGAGTTACATTAGTCTCCAAGAATTTGATATATGTATATATATATATTTTTTAAATCCAGCCAAAGTCTGCACAACCACGAGGGAGAAAGGCTGGACATGAAGGTGAAGGGAACTATGAGGAAGATGATGTGAGCACATCCGAGCAACCAAACGAGAAGCAATGTGAGGATTCTTATCAACCATCGGATTCAGCAGCGCATGAACTCATGGTAAGGGGCTTCTGGTTGGGTGTTGGTTGAGATAAGTATGTGCCATCAAGTTTTATCCTGACTTTCCTGAGTGGGTTTTATATGGACAGGGAGAGGAAGTTGTCAACGACAAGGAGAGTAGTGGGCCGAGGAGAGGGCGAGGGCGTGGGCGGGGCAAAGGGCGTGGGCGGGGTCAATACCATGGTAACCGAGCAACAAACCATGCGGGTGGTTGTGGTACTTCTCCCACTAGTTCTCCAGTTCAAAACGAGCAGCCACCTCAAACCAAACAACCCCCAGGGCCCCGCATGCCAGATGGAACAAGGGGATTTGCCATGGGCCGAGGGAAGCCACTTGTTTCCAGTGCTTCTGCTGCTACTGCTACACCTGCATCATCATGAGTTCTTCTCCAAGTCCAAAGTCCAAACCAAATGGGGCGGCGGTATTCGTGCGTTGAGTCATAGGGGGGAGGATTGTATTTGGTCTATTTCTATTTAGTGTTGTTGATGGCAGGGTTTTTAGAGGGAGCTGTCAGTCAATTGTTTGTGGTTGGGTATGGTTGTTCAGTATTTTTTAGTTTTTATGTTGTTGGAGGTGTCTGAAAGAATAGCTAATGTGGTTCAGTTAGGGATGTTTATTATCTGCTTTGTTGGTTTATTGATGTAAAAAGAAAAAAAAAGGTTAATGGAGGAAAGCCTTGTATACGGTATACCTAATACATATGTAATTGAATAATCTACTGTCTACACCCCAAATTGGATCAACTCTACCTCTTACAGTCTTACTTGCCCTTTCTCCTCCTGTGTTTCTTTGGCAGGCTTTTTGTCGGCACCCACTCAAGGTTCTGAGTATAGGCAATTTTAAAGGAATATATGCTTTGAAAATATATCTTATAACTACATCAATAAAGCAATATCTAAGATAAATTGATTATATAACGCATATACACCTAAGAAACATGCTTTAATAACATATGTAAATTTTGAGTTAGTGGAACATGTCAAGAAAGTATTGGAGTTTGATAGAATAATCAAAATATGGCCTAAATCAAGAAAATTAGTAATATTACTGATTAACTATATCGGGCGATATCGATAGTTTTTTTTTTTAATTTTTTTTTTCAAAATTGGTTCAGGGGGCCTGTTTAGGCCTTCACCCCCTGAATTGGTCAGACCCCCGATACATCCATTATAGGGGCATATTGGAGAGGTCTTGGAATGATACGTATCGGCCGATATGTAACGATATTATGATCTTTGCTATTATTTTATTTCTTTTTTAATTTTTTGATTAACAATTTTAGGGCTGTCAGTGATTCTGTTTTAGGTACAATCAAGGTTCAAAGTATCGACACGTATCAGCCCGTATTGGCCGATACGCATCGTTCCAAGACCCCTCTGATACGCCCCTACAGTGGGTGTATCGGAGGTCTGACCGGTTCAGGGGGTAGAGGAGACCTAAACCGGCCCCCTTGAACCAGTTGTGAAAAAAAATAAAAAAAGGCTCTAAAATGTGAATCGATTCGCCCAGGGGCGTATCGATATTTTGAACCTTGGGTACAATCTATTGTGAATCCAATGCAATTGAGTTGGATTTGGCCTTCCAATAAGCCTTGTGGGATCAGATTAGAATCCAATGAAGGATCCATTATGAGTCTGGATTTGCTCTTCACAGAGCGTGCCTCACACCGACTTCACAGCATGTTCTGGCTGTGCATCGGGAACATTTCTCTTGTATTTATTATTTATGGGGAGATGTTTCCAATACAAGGTGGAATATGGCTGTGATGTCGGTGTGAGGCGTGTTATGTGAGGAGCAGATCCCCATTCATTCCATTATATCATAGGATTGAATCGAATAATTGTCAAATCCAATTCGATTACAATATTATTATTGTTAGAAAAATCAATATGCCAAATCAATTTATGGTTTTAGGGTTTTGATCTGTCTGTTTTTACTGTGGCGTTTTCACCTTGTGGTTGCTCAATGGCCATTAAAAACGGAAGTTTCTGCTGGGGTGGTGAGGTTAGGGTGATCTGAGGTTTGAGTTGCAGAGAAAAAAGAGAAAGGACGCTCATGATGGAATCACACATGGCTAGGTGTCTAGTTCGAATGTTCGATTCAAGAGAAATATCACTTTCTTGAACTTGAAATCTGTAACATCCATTGTTTACCCGCAATTCAACTGGCCTAGTTTCTAGTGGCTGCAAAAGGCATCTGATTATCTGAATTTGAATTCGAATATGATCCTATTAAGGGTGATCCAAATTCAGTCCATTTATAATTGGATCAAATATGGATCTCCTTATTTAATCCAGTATAACCCGATTTGATTCAATATATATATATATATATATATATATATATATATATATATATATATATATATAAATTATTTTCTATTTATGATTGAAGTTGGTCTCAATGTTGTAGTTTCACTAACTGTCATAGGTTCAAGTTTTATACAAGTAATCAATTCACTTAGTTCATAAATTATAGTATTGAAATCTTTTTTTTATCTCATATTTTATTAATAATATATAATATTTTGATCATTTTTAGTCTAATTAATTTATAGTTATACTATTTAATATTCGATTATAAGCCAAATTCTATTTGAATATTCAAATATAAACAAATGAAATTTGGATCTGCTTATATCCTATTTGATCTGATCCGTTTGCAGACCAAGAGGGTTTTCAATCTGAATTAAGTGGCTTGAATCATGATCTACTTGTCCATCTTGGGGAATAGTGGAGGGTTAACTGCCATTATAAATAATGTCAAAACAAGAAGGCAGGCTGAATAAGAAAAGGTTGATAGAAAATAGAAAGTTAAAATTGGCCCGAATTGTTGATGGACAAGCAAACACTGATTTTAATACAACCTGAATTGGATTGGGCATTGAACTGGAAAAGGGAGAGGTTTATCGGTCAGGTATATAATCATGTATGACCGTAAAAAATTTAATATGCATAATTATAAAAAATTGATATTTGAGGATAAAAAGGCATCTTGTGGAAAAAATAGCAGGGCAAGACACCTTTAGAATGCACGGGTTGTGAAAAATTACCCAAAATATAAAAGAAATTCACCCAATCAGACAACCAAGCGCAAAGTTATAGCCTTTGAACATTTACATATAAATTAGAAAAAAGTTGACAAAAATTGATGGTTTAACGAAATCAAGATCAGTTCATTGGTTTTCAGGTTGGATTAGGTGGTCCACCGGGTTTGGCCAGTTTTTGGTGATAATAGTTTTAGGGGAATGACCAAATTAGCCAGGGTTTTTTGATAGATACACATAATACATACATACATACATACATACATACATACATACAAATGTTTTGCCAATCTGTTCGGTTTAGTGCTGGGTCCGTTGTTAAATACATATATTTATACAAGGGCAAATCTATGAATATCACCTATTTGGTTACCACTTTTTTGATACTGGTTGATTGGTTAAAAGTTTTTCCACTATCATAGTTGAACCCATTATATAAATATAAAAAATGTCCGGTTTAAATTGGGTTGAAACACCCAATGCCTCAATTCTAACTCGAAATTCAACCTGACCCTATTTAAACCTCTTCATGTCCATGGGTTAGACTTGAACTTAGCTTTTGCCAAAATTTGAATGGATCTGATCTGAAGAAATGTAAAACGTTCATAGGCAGAGCATGAAAGCCTGGCCCGTGAATAGGTGTATCCTACCTTACCCAAGTTTTTTGGGTTGAGTTCACTTGGTCCAAGTTGCACCCCCCACCAAAGGCCACCCCTCGCCTCACTGTCAACAAAGGCCTCTCTATTAATATGCTGATGTGTCAAGTGAATTATGTTCATTTAATCTTGATTTGGGGTTTCTTCGTAAATATCTTCTCTAATAATCTGAATTCTCCGAACGCATAATAGTGTTGATATCCTTCGAGATTTATTGAGGATGTTATGTTCTCTACTTTCACACAAATGACCTATTAGCTCAGTTGGTTAGAGCGTCGTGCTAATAACGCGAAGGTCGCAGGTTCGAGACCTGCATGGGCCATTGTTTGGTTTTTAGTTTCAGGTGATTGGGTGGGTCCCCTTATTGAATGAATCTCATACCTATGCGGCAATCGTGTTTGAGATGTGCGGCTATGATACTGTTGGAAGCACTGTTGCTATATTTATTTATTTATAATAAAATATTATGTATTATATAAATAAAGTCGGATCAGGTCTGAATCGATTCAGGGCTGCGTGCAATCGATTCCAAATCGATAATAATCAAAATACTATATCATGACCTACAATCGACCTGTGGGGGTTCCAGTTCCTGGAACCAAAACTGGTCCAATTGGTTCGGATCCGTTGAGTCGGACCCGACCCATTAAAAGCCCTAAATGCAAGTAATAGAACCAATCAGGGAGCGCAATTTAATGGGTTATGGGGTGAATGCTCAATCCCAATCTCTATATTACTCTGAAACCGAACCAGCAGAAGTCCCGTCACCCCACTGAAAACTCTAGCCCTCTGTAATCTCTTTCCCTCGTCCTGTTCATAGACATAGAGTGACCTCTCAGCTCTTTCTCTCTCTTACACACACACATATGGGTGTCAATGGATCGATTTTTGATTGGATCCCGTCTAGTCCAAAATCAATTTGGATGAATTGGATGGACTAACAAGATATATTGGATTGGACCAATCTGGACCAAAATATTTATTAGATTGGATTGGACCTGGTCTGTCTGTAACAAATTTATATTGGATTGGATTGAATTAAGCCAATATCTAATCCACTGATATAAGATAAGAATATGTATCAATAAATCGGGTTTGGATTGAAACCAATCTAAATCAAAATGATTTTGAACAAATTAGGTGGTCCAGACAATGAATTGGACCGATCCAAATTGGTCTAATATATTTATTGGATTGGATTAGACCTGATCCATTTATAATGGACTCACATTGGACTGGATCGGCGGATTGGACCAAATCCAATCCAATTGACACCCCTACCCACACAGTGTTGCTCTATTTAATTCCCTTGCAATTTGATTTATTTTGCAACCTATAATCATATATACTCTCTTGATGCTTATCTGCTCCTTTGCTTCATTACTATTAGTTAATTTGGCTTGTAACGTTAGTTTTGTTTTTTGATGATCAGATAACAGATATATCTATCTATTCAGTGGGTGTGGATTTTGTTACCATGCACAGCCTTAGGGGGTGTTTGCCAATGTGTATGGATGTGATTTTGCTGACATCACAGTTGTTTTTGTTTTAGGACAAGACCACTCACATTGTCAAACACTCCCTTGATGGTTGCATGTTTCTTTATCACAACTAGACCTGTTCATGGGCCGGGTGGCCCGACGGGCCGGCCCGGCCCGACCCCCGGACGGGCTTGAACAGAATTTTTGGCCCGCGGGCTTAACCTCGGGCCAAAAAGCCCGGCCCACATAAAATTCGAGCCGGGCTCGGGTTTTGCCAAAATAGCCCGGTCCGAGCCCGGCCCGGCCCG